CAATCTTTGAAAGTCATGATCAAGACAGTTAAAAATCTGCCCAGATGTTATCTGTCAAGAAGCGAACGGAGATTTAACACGACTTATTTATCATCGCTCCTCGAATCCATTTGTGTTGTTGTTTTTAACATTATTGTATCCCTGTGTTTTCAGTTCCTAAACCTCTACGATGACTTCCATTGGTAATCAGTAATACTGGCAATGTTAATTTTTCCCTCATAAGTATTTGAAAGTCGTAGAAACATTATGTATCAATAAAATGCCTGACCACTTTTGCAGTTTTCAGCTGAAATATGCCATTTAAATGTAATTTTATTTATTGCGTGTAAGTATGTGTTCCACACGTTATCGATTAAGAGGAGCTAGTACCAAAACAAAACATCTTGATCTTGAATTTTCGCTCGTTAATTAAGGCCAGTAATTAATCAATTTTTCCAAATATATCAAATCGTCAATGATTGATCTTGAAACACCGGAAATACAGACCTGCACAGTATGTCAGATATCGGCAACTCTTCTTAAAGGCGGTAGAGCTAAGTCGACCTGCGGGAAATGATATTTCTACATCTCTCTTGGCAATCGAAAATAAATGATTAGAAACGACATATTAACTGCGACAGCCTTCAAAACCTGCAAGTTATCAGGGACGACAAGAAAGGGGATAAAAAACAAGCATATGTCACTATTTTTGTACTTAGAGAGACACTTCTTTATTATAATTAACAGTATATAGAGTAGGGATCTTTTTAGAATTTTAAGTGCTATATGATTTTAAAGGTGACCAATTTTTAGCTTTCTTGAGATGCTTTGGTAGCCAAAGGATTCATGAAAAGGTTCCCAGTAGAACATTGTAAGTTTGCAATGGGTTATTCGAAGGGAAAACATCCCATTGCCATAACTGTTCGCTCCCACATGAAAATACTTATAACCTCGAATCTATGAAAAATTTGATGCAAATAGTCAAGCGTAAACCATAGAGTTTGCATAAAAAAAAACCACAAGCCAAAATGGTTCGCTTACAAAGCTGGAATAATCGTCAACTAATCTAAGGGGAGCATCAGACCTAACCTTTCGTTAAGTTTAAAAACAGTTCAAGCCATCATACTGATAATTGAAATTTTTATCAAATTAAATGTATGCTCAATATTTCGTTTGTTATCACTGAGGTGTAAACAAAACGCAAATATTTTGATAAAAACAGCAGAAACTGCAACGTGTATAAAAGAAATTTATTACAAAATGTCGCTGGCTAATTCGATTGTTTGCTCAGAAGCAAACTCGATTTTAAAATATATTTTGTTAATCATGGTAATTGCCCTTGTACACTTTAAGATATGATACTACAGTTTACTCCTTTTTTCTGCTCAAGGTGGCTTGTGTTATCCTTGCTGACCCGTGTGAGGGTGATAGGGTATCAAATTAAGACTAAATTGCTCCTCTAGTTTAAAAATATCAGTTCTCTCTAATTATAGTCAAACATGTCTATTCCGTATTATTGGAGATGACTTGAGCATACACCACTCATAAAAAAAAGTTTCCAAATCTCTTATATCTGAGCTTTAGGGGTGTCATATATGTATGGAAAAATGCTTAGGAATATCGTCTCAGTTGCCAGACAAATAATGTCAAACATCTGAATTAAAAACCATATTGAAATAAGATTGAAAACAATTAAAACAGAACAATTTTTGAAAAAAATTACCCTTAACTAACAAAGCCTGAGAAAATTATGGTGAATTACCTTAAAAAATATAAAAGCAAAATGCTTTTGCAAAAAATAAAAGTATAAAAATAAAAACTTCCTCAGTTTTCTCGATAATTTCACACAAGCAAAGCTTTTAGGGGACCGAAAAGAAGTAACTCTTGCTAAAGATTTAAGATATCATGGCCCCTTTTCTCGATAGTGCTCCCATGGCCATGAGAAATCTTCCGCAGAATGTTACCGAAAAAGGAAAGTGTAAGCCATGTAATTTACTATTGCAATAACAGCAAGGAACTGTTCGAGAATTGAAACTGCGGCACAAAGAAGACCATCTATGCCAGGATTTCTTATAGGCCTGTCTGTCGAATAGATCAAGTCTCTAGAGAGGGATCCCTACGGAAAACGTTTCAAATAACTTGGTCTCCGAGAAGAGTGCTTCCTTTGACAGTAGTTTTTCGCTCCGACGAAGGGCTAGCGCTCGAAACGTCAGCTTTTGTAATCGTTACGGTGGCCAATTTGCCATTTCAACTTTGTTGATATATCCAAATTATTTCGTTACACCCACCGACGCAGCCCCAAACAGTTTCTTTCGAAACTATCAGCCTTTATTCATTAGTAGTTTTTCTAGCCTGGCAGTTATGGGGCGGTATCCTGATTGGATGTGGAAGAGGCAAGTTACACTGCAGTGTTTTTCATTTCCTGTTCAGGGTTTTCTCGTGCAAGAGGTGTCTTTTCAGCATGATCCGTAGCTAAACCATTCTGGTTGGTGGGTGAGTTACAGTCCTGATAATGATACACCATAGTACTCGCAGTTGCATTGGGTATACGATCTCTTAAATAGGGACACAGGCACACCAGGTATCTGATGTAGCCTCTTCTGAAACGCCTCGTAAGGGTCCCATAAACCAGAGGATTAAGGCAGCTGTGAAATATTGAGAGAAGGACGTCGAATTTTTCAAACACTTGAATGGCGCTGCGCTTTTGGGTTTCCCCACCAAAGTCTATCATCATCCACCTGACCTGAAGAGGTAACAAACAAATTGCAAACACTAACACGATCACAGCTACGGTTTTTAATACCTGGATATCTTCTTTGCAGGCGAGACGTGACAATGTCTTACCATCACGCCGATTGTTATTAAGACTTTTCCCTGGTCCAAATCTCTGTGTGCTTGATTTGAGCAGATCCACTGCTATCCGTATGTACGCTGCAGTGATGATGGCCAAAGGAAGAGAATACTGCAACACGAACAAGCATGCCGTGTAAGCTTTCCTGTGGGCATTGGAATGCCAACATTCGGAGCATTCAGTTTTTCCAGGTAGTTCCCCCTCGATGGCTAGCATGAGAGGAAGAACAGCTATGAAGGACGCAACCCACACGCCAACCAACCAAGCTATGATCTTCCATTTTCGCATTTCGGGCTTAAAAGGGTTTGTGATGACATAGCAGCGATGGATCGCCATGGATGTCAGTGTGAATATACTCACAAAAAACGTCATGGTAGCGATGGGAAAAACAGTCTTGCAGAATGCCGTGCTGTGGTGAAATCGTACCAGAATTTTCGCCGAGTAAACTGGTAGAAATACGATCAACAAAAGGTCCGAGATGGCCAGATTCACAATAAACAGATCGTTGACGGTTCGATGTTTTTTGCTTCGAACCACCAGCAATACGAGGACATTCCCAAAAGAACCCAACAGAAACGTGAGCACGTATATAGAAAGCTGCGCTTTACCCTCAGGAGTGTCTAGGATAGATTTCTGATGAGTCTCAATGTGGTTCGGTGATGACGTTGTCATATTAACTGTGTCTCCCATTTCTATTTTAAGATGGCTCCACGATGCTTTCAGAATGCGTCTTGAAGTTTTTTAAAGCAGTTCACGAAGTCACCACGCTTTTTGATGTCTTGACAGGTTAAAATCAGCTGCTGCAAATTTTTTCTGGAAAGTTTCAACACTGACTTTACTAATCCGTTGATGTTTTGATAAATGCTCCCAGGAGGGATCTACGAATTTCTCTCATCCGTCAACGTTTCTGAAGTGAAAAATACCTCTCTGCCTGGTCGGGTTTCAAAAAGTCTTCACGACATTCCACGCCTTAGATACAGATGATAAGCATGGAACGTAACATCAGTTAATGTATAGTAATGCGCTTACCCAGTTAAAGACGTACTTTGCTGAAGACGACCCAAGCAATCGAATCGTGCACCAAAGACGAACCACAGAACTGAATATCCTTCAAGACGAGTTCCGTTTTAAATACGATTCCAGCTCACCTGAAAAACATGCAGAGGCCAGTTTCCTCTATAATGTTCCGCTGCACGTCAGAGGAAATGGGATGCGTGCTTCCTTTCCACAGGTTAAGTGCTTTTGGTGCTTTTTCTCGAGTGAACTAAGATTGAAATAATCGAGCATTAGTCAATAAAATTTGCGTGAAATTCAAATAGTTTTACACCTCCCTCCAATCCAATTCAAATTTCTGTCGAAATATTCTAATATACAAACCCGACATAAAGCTGGCGGTTGGGAAACTAAACTGTGAAGTGGTTTTCGAGAAGGTATATAGAATTACACCTATCTCGCTGTAACGACCTCCAATCGTGATTTGGGAACGTGCGTTTGTCGGGAAATACATTCATAAATTGGGCCTCTCAAATAGCAATTTCAAAACTAGAAGCGAAATGTAGTGAAATCAAAATAGGAAAACATCATTATGGACACAATTTATATTACCTCACCATCGCATCCTTGTTTAGAAGTGACGAGTTTCGAAAAACAAATTTGCGATCATTTTCACTGATTTCGGCCCAAGGAATTTCAAACCTGGCCTTTGTTCCACCGGTGTTGTATGACTGTCAATTGAGTAGAGAATGAAAAGAAATTTATCCCTTTAATGGTACACAGCTGCTTTTCAAATTCACCGTTTATGGCTCGTCGTATTGAAAAGCCAATTCGTGGATAAAGTTTTTTAGCACCGGCCTAGCAACGCGAAGTCAGGGCCTTAAAGAAGAGTTTAAAGCCCATATTACTTCGTGTTTATAGCTGACAGTCGTTACAATTTAAGGCAAACAACATCCAAAATCAGAGCTCCAGAATTTTTTGTCGCAGCAAAGAAATCCTCGCAAATGATAAACCCAAACAAACCAAGCGAAGATAGTGTATAATGGACAACGAACATACCTGAATGCAATGAATTTCAGAGAAGAACGTGTCTCATACTATCCCTGCCTGTTTATTGACACAATAGAAAATGTACAGGTCCAATGCAAATTTTTCTTTGTGATTACTGGATAACAATCACGTTCACTTAAAGCTTATTATTCGGATTTTTATGTACCAGCTGCTCCAACGAGGTTTCCGACAAAGGTTTGAAAAGCAGTTTTCACTAATGTCGTTCTTTTGTCATCAAATGTACTTCAAGTTATTTTCTATGACGTTTTGTCGGCAGCGGCACCAAACTGGCACCAAAATGCGCACAATATTGCTAGATGGACTTCACAATAGCCTTTTTTCTGATCGATTGAGCGGCTCGGTTTAATCCCTGGCTGATTTGTTGTAATGGTCTATGTAAACAAAAAGCCCAAATCTGGACAAAGAGTTTTGAATGCTGGTAAAATAACAACCCCATCCGACGGTATAGCAACAGAAATCCCTTGGGTAATTGTAACGCCTAAAGATAAACACGGTTGGAAGGGAGTATACTAAAGCCTCCTACAAAAGACAAGTATTGACTGCCACCTAATTGAGAGAAAATAGTCGTTTCTAGAGTAGTCCAATCTAAAATATATGTCCACCGCTGTGACAGTTGACTCAAGTTTGACAGTTATTTAGATGCCGCGAGTACGAAAACATTTGCAGAAGCCCGCAATCCTTGCCATTTCCTGGATAGTGTTCGAACCACTAATTCTTTCCACTTTACTAACGAAATCCGCATCAAATGTTGATTGGCGCGATTTCTGGCTAGTAAACAATATTTAAGAATGAGTGTCAAAATAAGTAGGTACGACTTTCACTAATTAGCATCGCTGAAAATAGACAGGGATGGTATAAATCTGGTTGATCGATAACTTACATTTTCTTATGAGTTTCAATATTCTGTTCTTGATGAGCGTAATGAGTGAAATGACCACATTGGTATCGTTTTCGAGTGTGCTATTGTGACAACAGTTCCCGAAGTAATCAGTTTTTAGTAAAAATCTCCACCGTAGCATCTCAGAGGATGATCTTGCTAAATCTTTGCCTAAATGAGCCTCGGGGTACGAAAAGCGAACGTCTTGTACTCCCAACTGCACGACATGTGTTCACGATAATAAATGTTCTTTTAAAGCAGACCACAGTATTTCTTCAATTCAAAACAACAAAATACTAGAAACAGAACCAAGTTTTTTATAACAAAAATGATTATAAAACTCACTTTTCGCCATTTTCACTAATTGTCGGGAGAATTGATTACAAGTCTGACAAATCCTTGTCGGCGGAGTCGGTGTATACGATGCTAACTTTTACCGTGAACAGTTCATCCGTCAATTGTCCCTCAGTTTTATTTACAAGAGACCACACGACTTAAAAAGTTTACACTGAATTGAAATATTGTCTAAACCCAGCCATGAAAAACCATTTCTCGATGATGATGTCGATCCAGACCTGTATTTAACACGTTTTCTACAATATGCTGAGATAGTTAATCGGTCTTCTTTGTCGAGCGAATTGTCCAAGAGTCAATGGATGGCTACTCGATGAGAGAGTGTGGCCTGGTGGGCAGATACAAGCACGCAATGCCAACATTTGTCTAACATGTGGCAGGCGCAAAATTGACGGAAGAGGGTCAAATCTAAGAAACAGAGGCCCGCAGGATAAAAGGAAATTGACATAGCATGCGTAGAATGCTTCGGGAAACCGCGTCACTTGTTAAGGTACGACTTCAAAGAGTGGCCGCGTATCCTTGGGTGCTTCTGTAAAACTAGGCTTAAATTCCTACCTATGACAAAATGTCTGCCCTCAAGCCTGCGGGTAACATGGAATTTATAGGTCAAACGCCGGAAAAGTTCGACTATGAAATCGGCCTCAAGGTGGTTCAACACCAGTTTGTGGGTGTTTTGCTTTCCCTCAAATCGAGCAAAAATAAGATAATCAATACATGTAACTTCTGAAATTCATCATCGCTAAACAATAAATCTTAGCCCGCCAGTAGTCTTTTCAATTTTTGAACCTGTCTTTAATAAAACGGTAAGAAAATCTATTAATTTCCACCAAGCAATTTATCCCCTGTTTGCCGCAAATATTGATCAATACAGACCCACAAGAAACTTTGATTCCAAAATCGTGATTAAACTAAAAGGAAAAACTTTCAATGAGACAATAAACAAAGGGTCAGTTCCAAAGACCTGCTAAAGAGACACTGGCCTAACACAATCAATAACAGCTATATTTAAGAAGTGATCCCGCTAAACAATTTAAGGGTATATACAGTATGAAACTCTACTATCATGCTAGGCGGGAGATGATTTTTTTAATTAAGGGATCAAGTGGGGTCTTGCGAATAATAATGTCTACTGAGAGGAGATAGGAAATATTGAAAACGGCATTAGTAAAATAAAAAAAAAGGTAGTTGCCCATTAGGAAACGGTTGAAATAGAAAAACTTATCATGTTTTGAAAAATACAAATTTAGAAGCTTTTCATAGCAACAAATTTGAACAGCTAGTATAGTTCATCTTGAGCTACCAAAGTAATGTGACTAAATTTTCTTGGCTAACATAGGACCCCACATGATCAGCTCAAATTCTAAATTATCCTGTTGCTCGACAGCCTAGATTTAAAATTTAAAGCTCAAGTGGCCCGGTTGTGGGGAAAGTAATGATTAAATATTTCCAACGTACTTAAGGGCCAAGAATAGCGGTCACTTGCTAAAAAAGAAAAATCGGTCGGAATATAAACTAGTCTCTAACTTTCTTTATTTTTAATATTGTACCTGACCCAGCGACATAAATTGGAGCTGTTTGACATTCGTAACCGGCTTGACACTGAGTTGAAATGTATATGAAATAGACGAGCTTATCCGGTCACATCCACTTTACTGCAGGTGATTAATATCATGCAAAACCGGAGAAAATTGATTAACCCGAAAAAATGTCTTTGACTAAACTCTTTATAGCCTCACCGCGCCGTCAAAATCCCTCTCTGGGACGAGAAACTTCTTCCAAGACGTTTCATTCGCCATTTAAATGGTAAAGGTCTCAACAAATGCAAATCAGCGCGCTCGAACTTGAAAAGTGATAAGCGCTATGTACACATTCGAAAGGAGTTGCTTTGCAAGATTTTTAATAAATCATAGAGATCCTAAAGCGGACGTGCCTACTTTACAGTAGATTGCGAGTTATTAAGATTATTCGAGTGTGAGTTGGCGGCGGTGAAAATCTTTTTCAGACGGATTTATCCGCTCATAAAAACGATCTGCAGGGCAAACGAGGGAAGACGGGAATAAAATAGGGATGGAAAAAATTATCTCTTCGACCTGATAATGTCCCTTCTTATTTTCCCTCTTCGCTGCCAAAAATACTGTAATCAGACAAAATTAAAAATCAACTTACTCAGCTATCGTAGCCTTGTATGGTGAAAACGTGTGAGCCCGATTGTCTTGCCAAATCCTAACAGCAAAACGCTAACTAATTGCAAAAGAACTGTGACGTTCGATTTATCTCATCCTTTGCGGACAGCTTTGACGTACCAAATAAATGGATCTTTTGAAAATTGAAACTGGTGTAGAAGGTGATTTACAATGTCCGACTCGGGCCATGCAAACATGTTTATATTTTTGGCGCAAAAGGTCCAAATTTTCAATTTAATTAATGGATAGATCACTCAGGAAATAGTGAATAAATACCGACTATTTCCATTTGATTGGTGGCGACTTCTTATCAGATGGGAAAAAGTTATTACGATTGAGACAGTTGCAAGTTTGTCAAATTTGTCTGCTACAAAAGTGATTTCCTTATCCCAGGGAAGCTTTCCTGTTTTGCACGACAAATATCTTTTTTTTTTTCCGGAGTTGCTTGATCATTTATGATTTCTACCTTAATTAGTAATGTCAGCTGAAAAGAACAATCAACAGGACTAAAGGCACTTCAGTTTCACTCAGTAATCTGATCGAACGCGTTTCTTGGCAACATTAGGTTACTAGGCAACCCCAAAACGTTCATAGGACATTTCTCTCTCTGATTGGACAAATCACTTGCGCGTCCGCGAAACCTTATGAGAAATTTTCAAAAATGCTTTTATATTTGTTCAAGGTGAAAGTTGAATCTAAGTGAAATGTTCTTGGCATTGCCAGATGATTCAAAAAACCTCCCTGGATGTAGGAGCTTAAATGTTCGTTAAAGTTATAATATGACAAATATATTAATTAAGCTCCTAAGCCTGGGTGAAGGTTTGAGAATAATAACCTTTCTTCGTGTGCTATGCTACTTGCAGTCCAAACAAAAAAACTTGTCTGGAGATTTGCTTCCGAATCTGCGTTTGAATTAGTGATCATCTCCTTAGTTACGTGCTGTGATAAGGGAAATTAATAACCACTGGCCTCTTTAAGACACAGTTTGCACCACATGAGATGAAGCTGTTACTGTAAAGATTCACATTGATCAAACTTTCATAAATATCATTTCTATAGGAAAAATGGATCATACCACTGATTACTTAAAACTGATAAAACCCGCTGAAAATATTGGGCGTCAGAAAACATAATGCTTTGTTCAAAGTGCAGTGTCATCAGGAAAGGAAGGAAACTCTTTATTCGCACTATTTCAAGAGGTTGCTACAGATTATAAAAGTCAGAATATATAAAAAAAACAGTAAATTACATCAATAATCAAAAGTAAAATGTGCACAGTGACCAAAGTAGCATAGCTTTCGAGTTGGCTACTGTCACGTATAATGTGATTTCGATATTTACATTGCCAAACGTCTTCATACGTGTGCGGTTGACTCGGAAGCAACGATATACTTGTTGAAATACATGCACAGAATAATAACTCTATTTGGCGAACAGTTAGAAAATAAATAAAGGAGAGTGGGCGATTTAAGCAGTGGTAAGAAAAGGCTACAACTTAATTTTTGTCGTGATTAAATAGGCCTTCCTTGCGTGTGCGATTCGAAGTCAGTCTCAGAATTCAATTCAAAATAAACCCCCTGGTGGATCTAACCTTTGTATTATAAATGCAAATTAGAAGCCACGAGAACCAGGGTTTAGGGTGAGTGTTAGAGTTAGGTTTTGTAAACAGTAGCATGCGCAATATGAAGTTATGTTTCAGTCAGTATTAAAAGCAGTTTGGTTTCATAGTTTGTTTTGGAGACGTCAGTTTTAAGTATTAATCCATAGCAGGCTGAGACGATATTTTACGGCACTGGAGCATTATAGGTAAACCGCTTGTGCACTATGTGCCCTACGGTTTCCGTAGTATTAGTGGCTAGACGAGGGCTAAACCACAGCAGAAACTCCCCTAAAATTTCGACAGATTATTGCCAGCTATTTGTGTTTTATACTCCCGTGAAAAGAGAGGCACTATGCCGGAGTATGTGCATCGACAAAGAACCCAACACGAAGTGTAGACCCTGGCTCGAACTTAGTCCTCTAGATGCGAATTCCTGTAAGCTATGTTAAACCCCGAGCCTTCCGAGTGTCTCCTCTGGGTCTCAAATCTTGTGTCAATCAACTTTTTAAGTTAAAAACCTTTTCTACCAACGATTTAAAATGTTTCGTTTAATTTTGTAAAACTAACGAGTGTGAAAGATTCAAAAGAGTCACAGGGATCGGGAGGTGATTTTAAACAACTGTTATTATAAAACAAATTAAAGATATTGTCTCTTAAAGAGATGTTTCTGTTGTTCGATAAATTTATATTTTAATACTTTGGAGGGTTTCATTGAATCTGAAATTGTTAGAAATTGCTTTTCTTAAACACTTACCGCGAATTTATGAATTTTTCATATCAGTCAAACTTAACTCTCCAGGTGAAAGAAACTTGCCGAGGTGAGCTCTTACCTTGTTCAATATGAAGAAGAAATGTTTTTAATTTCTGTTAACCCTCGGTATTCACTTGAAATGATAACAAATTTTTATATTAATTTTGGACTCCGCGTGGGACGTGACTTCTAAAAATTTCAAATTCATAAACTGATTTCGGACTTGTGGCGCAATGATTCTCGCGTACGTGTTCAGATGAAAAGAAAAGTCGCTATTGAGGAACAACAACAGAAGTCGATCGCCATTTTAAGCTGCTATTTAAATATCATTCAATAAAACTTTTCGGAAAACTAGAAAGAACTATAGAAATTATTTGCAACAGCTGACGAGGGATATTCTCTCATTTTTTATCTCTAATTTCCCGCAAAAAAAAAAAATAGAGTGTTTTCCCGCAGGGCGCAAAGCTGCAATTCATAATTAATAACTGCATGCAAAATGCAAAATATCATCGATAATTTTTTTTTGTAGCGGCTATACAGCAGTTAATTTACGTTGGAAAAGGCTTATCTTCGAACTAGCATTCGCTTTTTGAACTGGTTTGATAAATTACTGCGGATCATGATTGAATAAAAAGTTTGAATTGAAACAAGAAGATAAAAATAAGTTGGAGTTTATGCTCCCGAAAAATTTACTTGTTTTTATTTTCCTCACACGAATTTAAGAAAAATGATAACTGTGGATACCAGCCTTACTGTGCATTCCCCTTTAAAATATCATCAAAAGAATACCGAGAGAAAAGATTAAAGAGAGCTATTCCAAGAGATGGAATATTACACTTACTTC